AGCTGGTAGCTTGGTCTGGGGCATCGCTGCGGCCGAGACCGGTGCGGTCGTAGACCAGGCACGGGGCGAGCGGGCTCAATAAGCGGATTACAGCGGTGTAGCTGGAAGAAACATCGCCGGCGCCGGCGAGGAAGATAGTGAGAGGCTGGTTGGTGCGGGGTGGGCCGTGCAGATGCAGGTACAGCTTGTGGGGGCCGATGGGGATGTGGGTGCCAATGTAGAGGGGATTAGTTGACATGATGATGATGGTGGTAGTAGTGTGTTGTGGAAGAAGCGGGAGTATGAGTGGATCATGAAAGGATGAGGCTTGCAGGGATCGTCACATGGTAGTTTGTTGGTTAGTTAGCTATTTTCATTGTAGTCTAGCTGATAGACTAGATAGTCAAATATTGGCCAGTGCATCATTCCTCATTAGCTCCTATCATGTAATCATATGCTATCGACGCTCAGAGTGATTCGCAACAAAGATCTAATGTCAGATTTGAGACCCCTTCGGACGCAAATCCACCGTCTCAAATTCTAATCCCTTCGCTTCAAATACATGTCCCGGCCGCAGTGCGTCGGTGTAGATGTTCGCCTCTCCGTGGGGATGGAAGAGTCCGGACTGCGTGCAGTTGAGCACCGTCTTCAGCCCCGGCGGATCCGTCAGTCGGAACACTCCCCAGTCTGGCGTTTTACTAGGTGCGCACACGATCGCGATGCTCTCTGGCAGCATCACTTGGTATCCGCAATGCGTGTGCAGGTCGCGCGAGCTCATAAAACACGTCTGCGTCGGGTGCGTATGGATCCAGCCGAGCACCATTAGGTCCTCCGAATCACAGTAGTCGAAAATGGCTGACTCGTTCACCGTCTCGCATGTGTCCGAAGTGGCAGTCTGTTCAGGGATGAGGAGCCTCGACACGAACAAGGCGTTGGAGACAAGCGTGCCGCACAGAATGCCGCACGTCTCTAGATTGCGCTGCGTGTTCGGGGATACCAGTGAGATGAAGTGCTTGCGTAGATCAGGTGGCAGGAACAAAGTCCGCAGAGGCGTTCCGTTCTCGAGATAAGCAGATGGCTTAAAGGTATAGCTGGACGGGTCCAAATCCGGGCTTGCAGCTGGTCCATCGGTTGCTGGAACCTTTCCAGGAAGCGCAGGAGGCTCAGCTGGGATCTCTGCGGACGAGATCTTGTCTGGACGAGGTGGAGGTGAAGGTCCTTCGAGGCCAGCCAATTCATGTACATACGAGGCTTTCTTAGGAGGTAGTGCAGGTGCTTTAGGCGGAAGAACAATCTTAGGCTCAGCCTTTGCGGCCGACGGAACTTCCAGCGGCTTCTGACGAGGGACGCTCGGATACTTGTACGCGCCGGTCGAAGAGGTTGCCGAAGATGGCCGAACCATAGGCTTAGTAGCAACCTGTGGACGGTGATCCGCCCGCGGATCGTCCATCTGTATCCTCACGTTCTGTATGCGCCGGCTCAAGTCATCATCCTCGGATCCATCTTTGCGCAGGGCATGCTCCCAGTCTCCCCACACGCCAGCTGCACGGCGAGTCTGCTCCTCCTCAGGTGTTATGCCTGCTTGTCGGATAGCCTTTCGGACAGTCGCCCGTCGGCTAAGCTCCGTCCGCGCCAGCTGCACCGCCAGGTCTTTGTTCTCTCCTGCTTCCAGAGGTTCCACAACTCCTGCAAGGGCGGGGTCCTGAGGGGGGCGTTGGATTGAAGTGGGAGTGTTATTCGCGGCTGCTGGTGCGCGAGCTTGCCGTTCACGCATCAACTGAGTATAGCGCTCGTAGCGTTTGTTGATTCGAGGTTTCAGGACTTCCAGGACCTTCAGGTTCCGTTTGACCTCCTTTTCGGCTTCCACCAGAGCTTTCCGGTTTTTCTCATCCTTGGCCTCTGGGTGTTCGGCCAAATTGACCAGTACTAGCTGAGCATGACGAAACAATAAAAGGTAGGCTTGTTCTTCGTGCTTTTCGCGTTCGTAAATGCGAGCCTAGCCACCATTCTCGTCAGGTCACTCCACCATAACGAAGCAAGGAGTATACCAACCTCTCTCATGAGTGTAGACGCTGTTCGCAGCCAGTAGCGTAAAGGTATAGACGGGTTGTACTCATAATCCTGAGCCATGCGAGTGATCGATTCCACGCTCTGCGGAGACCCCGCACCGGTGGCTGGAGGTAGATGGGCAGCCATGACTGCGCATGAATCGATTTCAGGGTCGATGATAATGATTAAATCGAAGAGAATCAGCAGGCCTGTCGCAGCAGTCGCAGTTCATTGACGTCTGGCGCGAGACCAGCGGCAGTCGTGGTGGGGGCGTGCCGCATGTAGATGATAGGCAGCAGAGTCAAGACACCGAATGATCGGGTGGTGTTCAGGCACGCGAAATGTGGAGCAAGTAATTTATAGCTTTAAATCAAGGTGCATCGTGTTTGCATTCCACCAACCGAGCGGGGTGGGCGATAGTTAGTCAGGTACAGGAGAGAGTGCAGAAGTTGGTTCTTTTAAGTTCGGCGGAGCTGCAAAGAAGATCGGCCGGCGAGTCGCGCTGGTATTTGTTCCTCTCCATCTCTCGGCTTCCGCTCCACCTTCACTTCCATTCTTCTCGTTCGGCCGCCCAACCATGACGCCGTCCGCCAGGGTCCCCTTCCTCGAATACCAGAAAGGCTGATCGCTCTGCATCTTGGTCTCGTCCGTAGACCTGGTGCCTTACAATGGCTCCACGAGCCTCAGCCCTCGCACGGTTTCCGCTTGCGAAATCCATCGCCAAGTGCTTCCCCGGCCACCTCAAGCGGAGAACCAACAGGAAACCGGAGATTGTCAGTGAGGAGCTATGTGGTGAGTGCAGCTAATATATTCTTCCTGTATTTTCTAACGCCTTCGTTACACAGATCATGCTTTGCAGCGCCTGTCACCGTACCTCCTCCGCAATCGGCCGTTGGACATCCTCGACCTGTGGCCTGGAGCCGGCCTCTGGTCATCCAAGATCAACCGCCTTCTCCAGCCGCGACGACATGTCCTCGTTGAACCCGAGCTGCAGAACTTCCGACCGCTGCTAGATCCACTGGCCCAGAGCCATCCTTCCTACAAGTTACTGTCCATGGACGTCTTCTCCATCGGCGACTGGAAACCTGTGCTCACGGAGCATTTCCCGGAACAAGGGCCCGACAATGGCGATCATACCGGTGTTCTGACAAAGAACGACACCCTTCTGGTACTCGCGAACCTTCCCGCCACGACCTCCGACAAAGACCATTTCACCGCAGGCAGATGGTGGCAGATGTTCATGGAGACCTGCATGCAGCAGACGGGACTACACTCTTACGGGGCTATCCGATTGCTTGCGTCTCTACCATCGACAGAATCGCAGGCCATCATCCCCCGCTACGTCGTCGATCGCCGACGAGTATCGCTTTGGACGGAGAATGTCGCGCTCCATACCTTCGAAGTCGCTGCTCCTCAAGACGAGAAGTTCTGGGTTAACCACAAGGGGTTCAACGTCGCCATAGACAATGCCGCGCGTGTCGCCGAAAGAGCCGCCGAAAAGAACATCACCACACCCCCTGGGAGGGAATTCCAACCTCTCCTCCCAGCTCCGGAGAGCCCCGACCCCGGCCGGAAACCCGTGCCCTACACACCACGCATCAGGACTGCCCTTCACGACAGATTCTGCGAAGACATCCAAGCCCTGGACAACATGGACAAATCCACCCCCGGCTACGCCGAAGCCAAGAAGAAGCGTAGTCGCGCGCAGACCCGACTCAACCGAGACAACCGTCAAGCATACTTCCTCCAGCAAATGGTCGACCAGTCCCGCGAAATCGACGCCCAATACGACGCTCTATCGCGAGCAGCCGCCGACCCCAACACAACCTCCGCCGACTTCAAATCCATCCTCGACAAAATATCCGCCCTGCGAAGCTCCATCACCGACGAAGGCCAGGAAAACTACCACGACCACCTCAAACAATTTCCCCACATCCACGACAGCTACCGCACATCCCTCCGCAGCAACCACAATTTCGACGACGCCCTCCTAGCCTGGGACCGCCGTCCCTTCGAGCCCCTCCTCATCCACCCGGAAGAACTCTACCCCCAAGGCATCGACCGCAGCATAGTCTACTTCGAACCGAACCCCAACTCCCCCGTCATTGAGAAAATCAACTCTCTCGACCCCTCCCAACGCGGCGACGCCTTCCGCCTCTTCGAAACCCTCTCCCTCTCCCTCGGCCGCGGCCGCGAAGCCCTCTCCGTCGCTGAAGTCCTCCAACTCATCTTCCCAGGCCGCTCCACCAACGACATTGTCAAGTCCATCCCCAGCCTAGCCGAATACGCCGCGAAGACACCAAAACCAGACTTTGACAGTCTCCCGAAAACCATCCACGGGGGCAGCACCGACCCGGTAACCAGTTTCCAGGAGAACCTGGACTACGATCTGAGCGATGTGCGCGTCCACATTCTCTCGACGTCGACAATCTGGGATATTTGCATCAAGTACCAGCGCAGCGGGGTCTCGGTGTCGAGTGTGCAGTTGAATCGGTTGTTCGGGGGGACGTTGACGTCGTATAAGACGGGGGTGCATCGTGAGATGGTGAAGAAGAGACTTCATTAGGAGATTATCTTTGGGTAAATGGATGGATGAATGGATAACTTTGTATCTGGTTATGTGATATGTATAACTAGCATGTACTATATGTAGTATTATATGATAGATGATTAGACTCTTCTCAAAATTGATAGAACATACAAACAACTAGGAATGGAATTGTATATGGTGCAGTAACATAACCTTAATCCAAGCCGGAGTTGATTTCAATAAAAGGGCACTGAGAGATTAGTTGGCGAGATCGTTACTTGCTTTACCAACGACTGACACCATTAAGTTCAATTGTTTCGGAGTCTTTTAAAATCAATTAATCTGCTGCATGCTCCAGCGTAATGGAGTTAAAATTCCATGTGAGATGTTTGTTGTTCGGTGGAAACATCATATGGCTATCTGTGATGGAAAAAGTAATACTAGGTATTCTTGATTCGAGATAAGCCATAGTTGGACCTAAATCAGGGGTCTAGAGAGCACATACTAAGGAAGGGTAGGTCCACATGGCTCCACAAGTGAACTTGAAATGCAAGTGGCTGTTGCTATTATTGATACTTCAAGTAACTAGTAGTTATCTGGGAAGAATGAGTCATGTGGAAAATGTAATTTGTTTCGTCTGCACACATCTATTCTAACGGGTATCTTGAAAGTTTCTGGTAGAAGTTGAACATAGTAAGAAAAAAGAAAAGAAAGAAGTGGTGCCAAGAAGATAAAGGTGATAAAAACCAGACAAAGTCTGACAAATATGTGAAAGAAAGATTAGAAAAGAGGCTAGGTGAAGAAATGGCCGAAGTAGAAAAGTCCGAAGATAACGAGAGATTAGAAGTAGTCCCGAGATAAGAGCGCGGGATGCGATAACGAAAGGAAGGCAACCATGGTCAAACTTAGATCGTAATAGACTCGACCAGATTAACCCATTCAGCAGGTTTGATGCGCTGGCTCGGGTCTTTGAGGATTGCCGGTTTGACGATTTGTTCGACGATCCCGTTGCGCGGTATGCGAGATCCATTCGGCCCGGAGCGAGCAAACTCAATCACGCGGTGGCCTTCACGGGCCATGGCTAGACGCTGGAAGTGGTTGGCACCCGGGTAGAGGAGCAAATCGCCTGTAGCGGCAGCCAGTAGAGTAACGGCTAGAGAGAAGACATCAGACTCTGGGGTTGGCGCCACGTCTGGGGATTTTAATGATGAGACACATAGAAGCTCCGGGGCTGTGAATGGTGGTGTTAAAGCTGTCAGAGCCGTGCCCAGACTGCTTTCGGGAGAGGAAGAATTGCTGATAGGGTGAGCGGAGGAGAAATCGGCAAACAGCGGTTCGTAAGGGAAGTGGTCGGATTCCAAATCGTCGTCGTTTGAGCGTGCACGGAGCAGGATGTTGTGAGGCTTGATATCACCGTGTACCATCTGCGGCCCGTCATGGAGCCAGCACAGACCGGTGATGAGCTTCTTTGCGAGGTCATACCACTGGGTCATGCCCTGAATGGGCTCGAACATGGTTTTGGTGGTCTTGTTCTGCAAAGCCACAGCGGCTTTTTCTTCGATATAGGTCGAGAGTGCCAACGGCACTGCTGACATGACGATGGAGTGAGAGTCTGCGATATATCCTTTGAAGGGAACAACATGATTCTGTGACCCAGCGACACGGCTGACCCGAGTCAAGGCGAGCGCTTCGGCATCTAAAATGGAGTGCGCATCTCGCCTTGCGGGTGACTTGACTGCTACCGTGCGGGCTTTGACAGCTGGAGAGCTGGGAGGCGTAAGCAGGTAGGGCTTGGAGGGCTCGCAAGGAGTTGCTTTGTAGACAACGCTCCAGAGACCGCGGCCATACTCGACAGGCCGGCCTTTGGGGTCCTTGTGGTATTCCAACTCATCCGTGAATGAGTCAGAGGTGGACACCGTGCGATCTTCCGCATCGACATCTCTAAATTTTCCCTCGACAGGCGACAAAAATGGACTGGAAGCCCCAGAATGTAGGGTGGCAACGCTGCCTGAAAGACTCTCGTCATCTACAGTAGGCGTCACCGGAGGTGTCAGTCCGGGCACCACTAGAAGAGGTGGCGCGCAAGTATCCGTATCATGTTGAGTGCGAACAGAGAGCGGGAACGGCAAATGCGTAGGAGTCATGATGAACAACTCTGAAGAAGCAGATGCCTCTGTGAAGATCGCAAGAGGCGGGGATAGCGGGGAAGGCGACAGTTGAAATCGGTGCGACGGTTTGGTTTCAGCGCCGATAGGACCAGGGATCTCCGGTCAAGAGGCGCGATAAGAAAACACCGCGTATCTATACTGGACTGGCGCGAATACGAGATAAATCACTAGAACGTCTGCTGGTATCGCTGGATTTCCGAGGACCTTGAATAAGATTTAAAGAAGCAATAGCAGCGGGCATATAGCCAATGACGAGGCAATTGGTGGCAAGCCGGTTGGATGACGTCGGCACCGGGATTCGAGTCCGACTGGCGCTTAAGACTGACTATTGATGGGTCAAGGTGCAGGAAGATGAATAGGACAAGAGACAGCGGACTGATGAGGACTGCAACATATACATGGTCTAGAAGAGCAGAATAGAAGGATAGAATCAGAGTGAAAGTAGAAAACCAACACCAAGCAGGGAGTAGAAAATTTTGAGGAGGCGACGAGTCTCGACCCGGTGGATTAGGAAAATGCAAATTAATTTATTTTCAAAAAGAGAGGGAGTAACTGGATAGATCGACAGAAAGAGCGATAGCTTAATTGTGCCCGAGGAACCATGGGTGATTACAGCAAACCGTCGCAAGTAACCGTGACATGCCAAATAGATAGTTCAGTTCCACCCACCGGGGCGAGTCTGGCCTGGCGGGGAGACCATTTTCGTAGTCCCACTGACATGCTCGGAGCAGCATCGGTCCTTTTCGGGTGTGCATTTTCTATCTCTATTTCGAAACAGCATGTTGAAATTGGGAGGTAAAACGGGGAAAGCAAGCCGGGGTAAGGTTTGATGAGCAAGAAAGCCGCAGCGGCAATCGGGAGAAGTAAGAGAGAGCCATGAATGCGACTGCAAGAAAAGAGGAAAAAGCGAGACTGAGTGGAATTGCGACTTTCGCGTTTCTCCTCCATTTGCACGGACACTATCCCCGATTGGGCACTAGTCTCCCGTCGTTAGTTGTCCGGTTGTCCTAATACGGCAAGCCGGTGGGTCTAGCTGGCCCCTCAACCCTCGAATTTCGTGCAGTTTTCTACTTGTTAGTTGACTTTAGTCTCCTTCTCACCCAGTCATTCGGGCACAAACGGCTGTCACCCTCGCATTTTCGCCCTGGATGGCCGTCGCAAAGGGTGAATGAACAACCATAATCCCATCCTTGTTTTGTGGTGTCTCCACCCCCTAAAAAAGGGATGACGAAGACCGTGAAAAGTGTGACACACTATGCTGCAGGGTTGACCATCTCGAGGTCTTCAAATTCCACTATCTCACGCGCGTCGTGGCGTCTGCTGGACACTGTAGGGAACATACAGTAGATACATTATGGTCGTGATCTCTCAGCCAGCCCGAGACTAGTCGATCTTATCGTAACATCCCGACTGAAGGAAAAAGAAAGTAGGACTCCGTTACATGGGTACATGCAGACCATGGCTCATCCACCCTGCGGTAGTCCTGCAGGAGCCCTCTTCTTTCTGCGTGGATGTATCAAACCGTAGTATAGCGGCCCCGTTTCAATCTGGCGAGGGTCCCATCGCATACTCCAGATCAGGAAGGATGAACGAAAATTCGAACCTTCGACGGTGGCTGCTTGAAAGGGGGGAAAGACGAGGACGAACCCAAGAAAGGCCTGTTCAAGAATCAAGAGACAGCCGAGGACGTAACCCTCGGACGGGGCCTCAGCCAATCTCCACCCCCACGTGGGTCATGGTCTGCCAGGGAAATTGCCTGCCATTGAGACGCTCTTCCAATCTCCACTTTGCATCCGACCTCCTACACCACTCAGGCTTTCTCAAATAGTAGTAGTTTCAGTTACTGTCACATCAGGTGCATGACCCTCCTCCCACTGGCCATCGTAAGCCTCGCATATAACTACTCAACTAGGGCCATCCTAGTAGCGTGGAGTCATCCTCTGTTCTTCCGCGACTCCTACAATTCCCTCCTTTCCGAAGCGCTGACACTGGCACCTCTCTCAGCTCCACCATCTACTGCAAGTCGGGGACAAAGCCTGGCAATCTGATATCTCACTTCACCATACGGGATCAAAGGAACGGTTCCCGACGCAATGACCTGGCACGGAACCGGTGGATGGCTCTGGAATAGCACACATCGCCGTGCCAAGCGCGCACGGGGCCGACGCTAGTTGTGGCTGTAAGGCTGTCTCGGAATCCCGTACTGTGAGTATTTGATCACATCCAGCAGGGACCTTGAGAGTTCGGGGAAAAAAACACTACAGAACAGAGAGTTGAGAGTTTAGATACGTATCCAAGGATATCAACCAATTTACCCAGCATGCAGCAATCCCTACCAAACCACTCTCTCAGCAAGGAGCCATCCATTTAAACTCGTATTATTACTATGTACAAAGTAAAGGGGCACACCCTAGACTAGCTCATCTTATTCCCGCGCCTTTCTCTGCTTCTCAACATACTCCTTGAGATCCTGCAACCACACCTCAAAATTTACTTCCAGCTGAGCCCCCACCATCCAGCGAACCACATACGCCAGGGCTCCATTCTGCGCTTCCCAGTTACGCACTTCCGTCCCCTTTCTCATCTGTCCCTGTTCATCCTGAATATCAACTTCCACGAACTCATGGACCCGTTCCGCCGCCAACAGTGAGGACATGATGCGACCTTGCGCCTGCTTATCAAGAACCCAAACAATGCGACCGGATTTCTTGCTCTCGCTGGGCGGATCACACTCTGTCACGACCAATGGAGTATCATTGCTCGCCTGTGCACGCTGTGGCTGGGACGAGCTGGTCGGCTTCATGTTCACGTGATAAGTCATCTTCGTCCCGGCCTGGAGAACCGGGGAGAGATCGCCCCCTTCGCATCCGGGCTGCTCTCGGATAGTCACGGCAGGGACGAATCGATTCCATGAGGGAAAGGTAGAGGTGTCCATGAGAGTATCCCAGACTTTTTGCAGTGGAGCATCGATTATTGCGACGCTCTGGCAGTGGCCGACAGCTTCGGATGCAGGGATATTGGGTGTCGGCATTGTTGCGAGCGCCGACTTGGGTGTGGGGGCGGTCATTTTGAAGAGAGCTAATTTGTAGGAATGTAGATGTGAAGTAGATGTAGGATGGAACTAATATTCCAACACGCGATAGTAGAGGTAGCTAACAAGCAAGAAGCTATGACACTGACAGGAGAAGTTTCGCTCTGGAATCCCGGCTCCACCCCCATGTGACCCCGGATAAACACTTGCACGCCGCCATCGCATCCCTGCAGCATACCACCTCTCACTTTGTTTGACATCAGCAGTCAATTTACTTCTTTGTCTATTTTATCTATTTTCTTAGGTGCTCTCCACGTACACTTCTCTCATCATGAACGTCCGGGGAAGCAGGAAGATAGCTACCTTGGCCGTCTCTGGGCAGCTCTCCACACTTGGCTAACTGTCACAATTTCTCCACCAATGCCAGCCTAATGTGCTGCTGTCTTGGTTGATCTATACGCCGATCAGGTCCCACGCATACTCTACTTGCGGCCTCTTCAGGAAATTTCCCGGTTAATGGACCTGAGAAACATGCAAATTTCCGAACGCTTGTCATGTCTAATGGCATGGCAGTTGAGGACCTGAACCTCGAGACGATACACCAACTTGGGATATAAGTAAGGGTGAGTATGCGAATGCTACTGGCTAATTAGTGGGTTACTGTCTACTCACGCATCATCATGTCTGTTTTCAAGGCATCACTCCTATTCCTTCTTTCTTCGTCACTCGTCCACGGGGTTCCACACTCCAGCAGAGCATCTCGAAGCCAACAATGCGTGGTTCCGTCTAAATATCAGGCATCAAATGGAACGGCTGATGATTCGTCTGCCGTCTCCCAGGCTTTTGCAGAATGTGCAACTGACTCGGTTATCATCTTCGAGGAGGGTGTAAATTATAATGTCTTCCAGCCGATCACGGCCACCAACCTCAGCAATGTGGAGATCCGGATGCACGGCAATCTGCATCTGCCACAGAATATAACTGCAGTGCAGAATATCGTCAGTGATGGTAGCTCTACATGGTTCACCTTGGAAGGGCCCAAGGTGGACTGGACTGGTCCCGAAGACGTGAATAATGGCTGGATCGACTCGTATGGACAGCCCTGGTGGGATGCAAACCCTGCAGGTAGTTCAGGCATCGACAATCGTCCGCATCTCATGAGCTTCAAGACTAGCCAAGCGACCATAAAATACTTCAGGTCCAGGAAGCCTATCGCTTGGAATGTCAAGCTGCATGGACAAGACATTACAGTTAGCCATGCCATCATCGATGCTACCTCGACAGGTAGCTTTCCTTTCAACACAGATGGCTTCGATGTGGAGGGGACCAATATCCAGATTACCGACAGTATCATGTACAACGGCGACGACGCGATTGCAGTAGGCGCGGACTCGCACGATATTCTCTTCACAAGAAACACCATCGGCTACCAGACTCATGGCATGAGCATCGGATCACTGGGGAAAGATCCCACAGACTTTGCCAATATCAGCAACATCCGATTTGACGATGTGACCGTTGTTGATGGCCTCTACGCTGCACGCTTCAAGTCGTGGAGCGGGGGTACCGGACTCGTCAAGAATGTGACCTGGAATAACATTAGAGTCTTCAATGTGACGTTCCCTATTTATGTCACTCAAAGCTATAGCGACCAGGGCGCCTCCCGGTCCGGGACTGTCAATGCCAGTTCGGCTGTGATGATGGAGGATTTTACCTGGTCTGACTTTTCTGGCTCGATCAATACGTACCAGCCCGGTGACGGCTCTTGCGTCTCCGACCCTTGCTGGTACAACGTTGGGCTGCCCAATTTGAAGCATACGGAGGCCCTCATTATTGAGTGCCATACGGGGCAGTCTTGTAAGAACTTTGTGACGGAAAACATTCAGCTATACCCGCAAGTTCTGGAGCCGGCGAGTGTGATCTGCATGAACGCAACGGCAGCCCTCAACCCTGATCTCGGGTTTACCTGTAAAAACGGGACCTACAGCCCGATATCGACTGGATCGAAGTAGTGTGAAAATAATAAGGAAGCCACACCCAACACATCAGCTTCCGGAAAGCACACCCAAACTAAGCATATACAATAATCAATCAAAACAACCCCACTACTGTACTCTTCTCACATTAGTATCTATCATTGATACACCATCCACTCGTTTGATAACCAAGATCTGCATATCACTACATTTATACCACGCATGTCCCACCCTATCAACAAATTCCAACCGTTCCCCAACTTCTATGTCTACCGACCAGGTTACATGGTAGTTCCTCTGATTCCCCTTGACGAGCTACCTTCCTGGGTCCAAGTCGGCGATTTCGACTGGGGCGATAGCTCGCTCTACGAAGCTATGCTTCCCGCTAGCTTTAACTGTTTCCCCCGAATAGGCGAATACGACGTGATTTGCCATCATTGCTACAAAAACGTCGACAGCTACCATCGCAGCGTGTCCGAGAGAAGTGATAGCAATGCTTCTTCTCGGGCCTCTGATCTTCCCAAAGGGCTTGCTGCTCAATTGCCTGCGAATTCTATCTTGTTGGATCCATCCTTCAAGCTTGAGCAGCCGCCGTTTGGGGCAAGCTTGAATGTTAGTCCGTTTGTCGGACTGTGTTTCTCTCCTCGGAAAAGACTGTGTGAGCTCTTGTGCCCATGTCTTCGGTGTACTCAAAACGGCCAGGATCAGCGGAATGACCAGAACCAGCAGAATGACCAGAACCAGCAGAGTGACCAGAACCAGCAGAGTGACCAGAACCAGCAGAGTGACCAGAACCAGCAGAATGAACAACATGAGGAACATGAGGAACATGAGGAACAATTTGAGCGTGAGGATCAGTCTGAACATGAGGGTCAGTCTGAACATGAGGAACAACATCCCCCATCTCATCAGAATACTCCTCCGCCTACAGATCCTTCTGGGCATCCTCCACCTCCGAATACTCCTGAAAATCCTCCTGTCAATAATCCTGCGGATTCCCCTAACCCTCCTGCAAATCCGCCTCTGAATTTGCCTCCAGAGTCTCCGGATCATTCGAACCCTTCTCTGCCAGAGGAAGAGGGAATTCCTCTGGAGACTATGTCTCATTCAGACCAAGGACATCGGGCAAGCCAAGCGTCTCAGGCAGCACAGGCGGCCCAGGCATTCCAGGAGAACGGGACTCGTCGGACGCGCTGGGATATTCGGGAGTCTATAAGAGCGGAAGCAAGAGATCGGTCCGCATCGGAAACCGCAATCACTGAGTCATCTTCCATTCACGCCGTACCAATTACCGGGACTGACCCTCCAGCTGAGGCAGAACAGGAAGGAGAAGCACCTCCCCGGAATCATGTAAACGGGGTCACTCCTGTAGATACGCCAGGCCATGCAGCTTCTGCATCTGCATCTGTTGAACATACTCAACCTCAGACGAATGGTGGAAGTGAAGCTGCGACTTCGGGAGACAGTGGAAACAGCTCCTTTGGGAGGAGGCGTGCGCGACATCGAGATAGACTGAATCGCCGGGGTCAGTTGTTTGAAGACGACGTGTCTGGCCCAGAAATGGGGATTGATCGTATTGATTCTGTTGTTGCAGGGCTGTCAGGAATCCTTGTTGAAACAGACGTGGTGAGTGTCTTGCAGTCTTGCATTGTTATTAGCCCGCCAACTCGATCCGCTTCTTTACAGTAGCTGACTAGACAGGAACAAACTGTTACTCAGAGGGAGGACGCTGAGGCTGTAGACGCTGAGGCTGTGGACGCTGAGACTGTGGACGCTGACACACAGGACGCTGAGACAGATGCCGAGGCATAGAATGCTCAGATAGCGGATCAGAGGGTGAAGTTTCATGATGGGTGGTTCGGTGGGCAGTGCAACTGATTGGGTAAAGGTTGAATTTGGCCATTAGAAAAGGTGTGGGTCATGTAGTATTCTTCAGTATGCTTGATCAATACTAGTAGATAGCACGGTTCATTGATGATTCCCAGCACTACTATTCTCTTAGCCCGAGACACACACCACATACTAAAGTGTATACACCAAATACCATTCTCTAAACCCTACTTTATACAACACTACCACTCAGCAAGATTCCCCCCCACCCACTGCGGATGCAAAAACGGCGCACCACTCGACCTCCTCCCACTCGTCCCCTCCGACAACCTCCCCTCCACATCTCCCCAACCATGACTCCCGTCCACCGACTCCGACACAGAAACAGAATCCCACCTCACCTCCCTCATAATCTGAATCCCCTCTCCCCCACTATCCCTCTCCCCTCCCCCTTCCCCATGCCCATTCCCATTCTCATTCCCATCTCCATTCCCATGTCCATCAACTCCTCCAGCAGACCTAACACTCCCCGCATCCCCCCAAACACTCGTCGACACCGTACTCCCCGGCGCAAACAACCCCGCCACACCACCACCTCCATACACAGCCAAGAAGTCTAGATCCTCATTTCTCGTTCCTCTCCTTGAGATAGACTTTCTCGTCCTAGACTTGGATATCGTGGGTGGTCGTGAAGGAAGCTGCTGAAGTCCCGCCTCCTCAGCTTTGTTGTTATTGTTATTGTTATTGTTACTGTTAGATCGCGACTCCTTATTATCCCTGTTATTATGGTATGATCGCATTCGAGAAGGAATCAGTTTCGGGAATACCCGCACGAGTAAGGGTCGGAGAGGCGGGAGGCAGGCGCAGGTTATGGCGACGGCGGATTCGATGAAGGACCAGGTTGCTGCGAGGCCGTTTCCTGCTTTGGGGATTGTTAGTATGGGATTTTGATGAATGGGGTTAGGGTAGGGGTGAGTACAGGTAAAGTCAGGATCTCGGAGGAGTCGGACGATGGTTGTTAGGCGGATGATGCTTGTTGCGCAGACACTGTACCATCATCAGCACCCATAACACTAAAGGTTAAGGTATAAGGGGAGGGAGGTATACAAAAACCCCAAGGCAAAAATAACCAACAAGGCAGCCTTCTGCCTCTTTGGCAGATTCAACTTCGCCAGGATCGGCAACGGCAATACCACAAGGATCAAATCCGTCGTGATTTGGAACGCGGCGTTGAGACACCAGACCACATCCTCGGGGAGACATGTACGGGGCAGGGAAGTATCCCAGAAGGCGTTGATGGGGATGCAGAAGAGGAGGGTGCTGAGGACCATCCAGAGGCCGGTGATGATGACGAAGATGAGGGTGAGGATGAGGAGGATGCGGTAGGTGTGTGTTGGGAAGAGGCGGCGGTAGAGGAAGATTAGGGAGAGTTTTGTGAGGGTGAGGGTGAGGTTGTAAAGGGGGATTGTTATCCAGAGGGCCTATTTTATTTTCATTCCATATATTAGTATCATGTATATATATAGAATTAGGGTTATGGATGTATTACCTTCAATTGTCTCCTCACTACCTCCGGCGGAAGATCTGCTTCGTTTTCGGCGAGGCCGTTTTGGCTTTCTATTTCATACATCCATATCAGTTATACCAAGTATTTCTGAGGGTGATGGTGGTGGTGGTGGTGGTGGTACCTATAACCAAGAACGCAAAGAACACTATATCAGTCGCCTATCCATCACACATCAGCAATACTCAACCAACCAACCAACTATCCTGAGAGGGTATGTATCTCACCAACGACACCACAATCAACAAATCATCCCATCCGGGCTTCCTCACCAACCTCAACCGTGTATACAGTCGCAGTGCGACCGTGATCGTCGCCACGCAAAGGAACACGATTCCCACGGGCAGGGCATACATCCTGCTGGGATGAACGGACGACGTCTACTTCCTTCGGAGGCAGGGAGCAGCAGCAGCAGCAGCATCTTTCGATTTGAGATTTGACGATATCACCATCTTTTTGTTGAATGGGGAAAAAAGAATTTGCTGCTGAAGCAGACGTGGCAATGCTAAGCCCGAGGTTGGCAGGCCGGATCCAGATCTATTGCGTCAAGGATACTGATAAAGTCAAATCCCCGCGGATATTGCTGGACTGGGTTGGGTGTGCCACCACATTTTGTGAGGATCCACGGTTCGGTCCGTTGGCGCCCAGATTCATTTGTACTCTTACATCAGTGGGCTGGCTCGGTTAGGAAATGTTTGAGAAAAGTGCATAGTTTTATCAGAAGACTGCGGGTAGATAGAAGACTGCATCTATTTTCATTATCAAGCATGTACAAGTTTCATGAGACATGGAACAAACATCAGTTGCACTATACATGTGGTTTCAACAACTGTCTCCACCTTTTGTAAAATCTACATAATGCAACCCCTAATTCTAAGAATATCGACTCATCGAGTCACGCTAGCGTTAGTGTATCAATGCAAAACAATCGGGTATTTAAAGGCGGGACTTGAGGTTGGCCTTGAGTCTGCGCTCAACGGCAGCCATGTACTCGCGGGTAGTAACCCAGGCCTCACGCTCCTTACGGCCGCAGGCCAGAGCCAGATCCTTGGTCATGATGCCCTCATCGTTGACAACCTCAATGCAAGCGCGCTCAAGCTCCTCAGCAAAGGTAACGACATCAGGAGTCTCGTCGAGCTTGCCACGCTGGATCAGACCGCGGGTCCAGGCGAAGATGGAGGCAATGGGGTTGGTGGAGGTCTCGCGGCCCTTCTGGTGCTCGCGGTAGTGACGGGTCACGGTACCGTGGGCAGCCTCAGACTCGAAAGCCTCGCCAGTAGGGGTGACCAGGGTCGAGGTCATCAGACCAAGGGAGCCGAAACCCTGGGCGACAATGTCGGACTGGACATCACCGTCGTAGTCTAGACGATTAGGATTAGCATAGCCCTCACACACAATTTCAGGGGTAGGCTTACTCTTCAAGGCCATGACGAATCCACCCTCACTCTTGATCATCTGGGCAACCATGTCGTCAATGAGACGGTGCTCGTACCAGAGGTTCTTGGCCTCAAAGTCCTTCTGGTAGGTGGACTCGTAGATCTCCTGGAAGATATCCTTGAAGCGACCATCGTAGCGCTTCAGAATGGTGTTCTTGGTGCTCATGTACAGAGGGAGACCCTTGAGCAGGGCCATCTGGAAACTGGCGTGGGCAAAGCCACGGATCGACTCATCGGTGTTGTACTGAGTCTGGGCAATACCACCACCCTGGAAGTCGTAGACCTTGACGGTCTCGGGCTCGCCATTGACAGGGGTGTAGACAAGCTCGAGCTTGCCGGGGCCGGGGATGACACGGTCGGTGGCACGGTACTGGTCACCGAAAGCGTGACGACCGATGATGATGGGCTTGTTCCAGCCGGGGACGAGACGGGGAATGGCGGGGATGATGATGGGTTCACGGAAGACGGTACCGCCGCTGCAAAAAAAGAATTAGCAATTGAGCTTAACAGCAGGGACTGCGGCAAGGTACGAACAGGATGTTACGGATGGTGCCGTTGGGGGACAGCCACACTGAAGGAAGGGTTAGTATGACTCCATTCACATGCTTCGGTATGCGTACTCTTCTTCAGCTTGAACTCCTCAACACGAGCCTCATCGGGAGTGATGGTGGCGCACTTGACACCGACACCATACTTCTTGATAGCCTCGGCAGCCTCAACGGTGACCTGGTCATCGGTCTGGTCACGGTATTCAAGACCCTGCAATGTCTGTCAGTCTCCACCCAGAACACCAATTCTTGCCATAGAAGCCCTACCAGGTCATAGTACTTGAGGTCGATGTCAAGGTAACTAGGCGTAATGTCTTAGTCGACTTGACTGGATGAATCAATAATCGGAAGAACTCGACTTACGGCAGAATCAACTATAGAAGCGGGGCCGAGTTAGCGTGTGAAGATGCGGGAGAGAACGGGAGGAATGCATCTGGAGCTGATGCATGGCGGGGCAGCCGAGGGCCAACTACATACCTTTTCTCTGATCTCCTGCCAGATGATACGGGTCATCTAGTAAAAGGGCAAGGTTAGCACATGTCAAAACTTCCTGCTGCCCTGCAATTGAGCCCTGGATCGCCGAACGATTGACGCTTGGCTGCCAGGGGCCAGGCGGCAGCCGCCGTTATTCCCCGCGTCTGGAATGCGCCATGACGAAAATAATGCGCATCCCGACGAGGGGCAGGGCCGAGATGCAGGATTATACATATATAAAGGAGGGGAGGGAAGCCAAAACATAAAAAGTCAAATTCAAACATACCTCATCACCGTCGAGCTCAACGACGGGGTTCTTGACCTTGATCTTGGAGATTTCGGTAGCCATGGTGCGGGATTGAGTAAGGTTCAACGAGGATAGACCGGTCCAGCGGGCAGAAGCAGTACGAGAGGAGAGAAGGGAAGAGGCAGAAGTAAGAGATCTGGGAGAGCGAGTAGAGACAGAGGAGGAGGAAGAAGAAATAGAAGAGGAGGAAGAAGAGAGAAAGCGACGAGCGGAGGAAGAGAGAGGGGCAGAGAGAGGAGGGGAAGCGACGGCGAAGGAGCGGCGCGCCAATGCGGAACTGAACCGGACAGACGACATGGTTTGGGATGGATTGCCAAAGACTCGACAGTAACTGGGCCTGCTGTGTGGGAGGAACCGGGGAAAGTCTGCCCAAGCGGATCAGTCTATCGGGTACGGGGAAACGAGGAGGAGGATCGCAAATCCACGCCTGCAAGGGGGACCGAAACTTGGGGGGCAAACGAGAATAGGAGGGAGAGAGAGAGAGAGTATACCCGAGGGAAAGACAAGCAAGAAGCCGTGAAGCTCTCGGCTGGAAGGAGGCGGTGGTGGAGTTCGGAAGCTGCCGTTAAGCCGGACTGGACGAGATGCTGTTGCTGTAAGGGACCTTCACGGGGCAGATCGGAGAACCCGGAAAATCGTTTCTGTTCACTCTG